GTCTGCCCTGCAGCCTTAGCATGTACCAAAACAAGTGCCCCAGTACTGGCCCAGCCCGCGGTGTCATTGGGGCAGGTGGGGGATGGGAGATTTGGACTGGAGCACAGGGCTGTGCCCGAGCTTAGAGCACCCCCGGCGAGACCCAGTGGGGCCTGCAGTGCAGGGACCAGGCTGGCAGGGCTCGGCAGCACTCAGTAGGGTGCTGAGCTGGGGCTCTGGAGGCTCCATCCCTGCTCCTGAGCTCACCCCCTTCCACACGGAGGTACTGCCATGGATGGGGCCCGCTGCTCCTGCTACGGGTGGGGAGAAACGAGGGGAGAACCAGCCCCCCCGTCCATTCCTCCCACCGCCAGAGAGCCAGGCAGCCTCTTTGTCAGTAAGGGGGAGGTGGAGAAGGCCCCTGGATGGGTGAGTGGGGCTCAAGGGAACCCCTCCTGGGATGGGGGAAAAAGAGAAAACCCAGCGTGACTAGTGCTCTCCCGTGCAGCGAGCTGCAGGTTGAGTCTGGGCTCAGCTCCTCTTGTGGTTTCACATCGATCGCACCACTTCACTCGCCCGGCAGCAGCTTGTTTGAGGTCGATGGTGCATTTCAAACAGGCTCTGGGCTCTCCCTGGGATGGCGGATGGCCCTAGTGCTGCTCTGTCAGTTTCAAGCTGGTGCTTTCATGGGGTGACACTTTTCTTCTCTCTTGTGGGGATAACGCGGAGACTCGAGAAGACCAGGCCAGAATATGTTACTTCAGGGGAGAGTCTGTCAGGGGGCTGGACCGGGACTCAGAGGCCCTAGGCTTAGTCCCTGCCTCTGCCAAAGACTCTCCTGGTGAATCACCAAATCTCACTGTGCCTCACTTCCCCATCTATACAATGGGGATAATGATACTTTGTTAAACTCTTCAGGGCAGGGCCTGTCTCTCACTCCATGTCTTCCCAGAACCTGGCACCTTGGAGCTGTGATCTCACTGGGGCCTCTCACGATGCTCTGGTCAGACACAAAATAATAATTAATAACTCTACAGTACCACGACCCGGCTGCAGCCGAGCTCACACCCAGCCTTTGCATCGTGATGCAGGAAACCTGGGTCTGCTGCTGCCTCACTGAAATTTACCAGGGATCGAGGTCAGGTCTCAGAGCCAGCCAGGCTAGTCCTACACCCTCCACATGTTTCAAGAGCAGCATCTCCCCGTGCAAATAAACCAGCACTATCCATTCCCTGCCTCTCTGGCAGCTCCAGTTAGCAGGAACCAATCTCCTCCCAGCTGGCAGGAGCTTTTCTTAGCCCAGTAAAATTTCCTGAGAAGTGAGTCCTTGCCAATCTCACGCCATAGGGAGAGCAGAGTTCACTTTGCTTTCCCAAGGGTACTTGGGTATCTTTATCCCTGCCCTCCTCTTTTGGCTGGAAAATTGGGATTTCTGGCATCTCAGCTCCTTTTCTTTTAGCAATCCCTTTGTTGCGCTTCTGCCTACAACTGGGGCTAGTTCCCATCACGCTCAGGCCAAATGCTGGCTAGGGGAATGTATGTGTAACTGAAATCAGTGCTCTCGCTCTCTGTGTGTAAACACGCGTAAGCATGTGTGTTAAACAGGTACCTTCATTTTCAAAAGAAAATGTAGCCAGAATTTTCCAATCCTGATCCCCTTTCAGATCTGTCTGTAGCCATCCAGCCCAGACAGCTTCCTGGCATCCAGGCCTCCCGGCTACCTGAGCAGGAGTGAAAACTCCTCCCCATCCTGCTCCAAGAGAATTCAACAATGGAAAAGCTTCAAATCCTATTTCCCTCTGTGATGAGATCTACTTGATCTCCTGGAATGAAGGGTTGAGAGATGCTGAATAGCTCCTCCCCTTTCACCCTTGCTATCAATAATTACCTTAGTGCACAATGGAGAGCCATGAATGCAGAGGGACCCAGACCTGCCTGCCTCCACGGCCCAGAGCAAGGCCACTAGGCCAGACAGAGGGTGGCTGGGATCCGGTATCTGCAAAGGAGACAGGCAGGAGTAGGGGAAATGGGAGTTGGCTGCTCCCACAGCTTTCAAAAGGCCATGGAAAGGAGCGAGCCTTGACCTTTCTCCTCCAGCTCCTCCTTGGAGGCGACTTCCCAATAACCAACTGCAGGTGGAAGAGGACCTCCCTTCCCCCTAGCTGCGAGGTCTGTGACTCTCTGCCCTGCCTTCCCTCTCCTGCTCTCAGCACCGCAGAGGGCTCTGCCCAAATTGTACCAGGGAAAAGCACCGATCAAAGTTACAATTAACAAGCGAATTAAAATCATGAAGCTATTACAAATAAACAGCGTGCTCCTTGCCTGGAAGCAGAGTTTCCTCTCCCAGTTCTGCTTGGCGGAAGAAGGCCTTTCAGAACTGGCACTCACCAGAACCAGCCCTGTAAAGCAGGTCAGGCTGCAGAACTTTGACTACATAGCAGTGGAGACCCGGTGCAGATCCCCACTCCAGACGTCTCAAGGTTGAGCTTGCTGTAGGCAAAAGCCTGCATCAGTTGGGACTAGAGGAGAGCACGGATGCACTGGGCTGAGCCTGGCGGTGGGAAGGGGATGTCCTACAGTCACAGCAGGTGCAGTGGGCCCTGGGGCTCTCAGCAATGAGGCACTGGTGCTTGGGCCAGCTGCTCCTCCAGGGTCTCTTTGCGAGGCTACCATGCTGGGTCCAGCTTTTTGTACCTTCAGTGGGTGCTTGAGGACATGTACGGAGCACTCTGGGACAGGGGTGAGCAGCATCACTCCCGGCAGAGGCTGGGGCAGGGCACGGCCCCGGAGTGATACTCTCCAGCCATGGGCTAGGAAACCTGCTCCCTGCTTCTCCACCACCAGCGCCAGCCAGGATAAAGCCAAGAATCGGCCCTTTGTTGGCGCTCCCAGGAAAGGCGGCGGGGAGCGTACGCGCTATCTGCTGGGTGGAACGTTTCTGAGCCGCTTATCGGGCTGCAGCCCAGGGGTCAGATGAAAGGCCTGCAAGGAGCAGGAATCACTCGCAGCGAGGAAGGAAAACAAGCTGCATTCTTTCCTTTTTCTCTCTTTCACAGGAGTGGGAAGATCAGCGCTCCCTCCATCCCTTAGACTCCCCTCCCCGGGCTCTGGGGAACAGAGGAGCTGGCAGGGCCTGGTTCAGAGCTCACAACTGTGGCTCTGCCCAGCACATTGGTGAAGCCTCACAAGGTAACCTACCCTAGCCTCTCCTGGTTGCAGCAACCTTAGGACTTTCCAGGCACCGCTGCCTCAGGCCCCCCCTTCCACTGCTCGTCCGGATCAATATGGAAGTGATGGTGGTCAGTGTACGGGATGGGGCTCCGAGTCAGAGATGCTGAGAAATGGCCTAATTTGCATGAACATTTGCATATTAACCAAAAGAAAAGCCAATGCACCCCGCCTTAAGTTTAGCTTGTACTGGACTCTTCTTGGAAACATAAGCAGAACTCGCTTGTGGATTGAACTCACCAGCAATAGAAACCTGCACGTGGAGCACTGCGGGCTTGTGGTTAAAGCAGCTTATCGGAAACAAGAGCCCGTGACACCCCCATCTTTTGGCGTAGCACCTGCCTACGCTGACGCATGGCAGCGGCTGTAGCATTTGAAGGGTAGCCAGACCTGAACGTGCAGAGGAGAACTCACCCCCTCCCTGCGAGGCTCATTCAGAGTGTCAGTAAAGTACATCGAGAGCCTCCAGCAGACGGCACTGTAATGTGCAAATGGTATTTTTACTGGTGAGCACCTTAGCTGGCAGGTGCAATGGTTTTAGGGTGACCCGGTGTCCCGATTTTATAGGGACAGTTCTGATATTTGGGGCTTTGTCTTATGTAGGTGCCTATTACCCCCCACCCCCGTCCCCATTTTTCACACTTGCTGTCTGGTCACCCTATATGGTTGCCTCTTGCATTATTAGCATCAGCTGCTGGGGTACATTGGAACGTGGTATCAAAGTAAGGCTGAGGGATCTCCTGGCCCTGCTTGCAGGCAGGGGGCTCTGAGAAAGGCACAGGAGCTGGGTGGCCCAATTCCAGCAGCAGACAGCTGGGGTGGAAAGACCCAGCTTAAAGCAAGGTGGGGGGAGTTGTGCTTCTCTGTTTTAGGGAGCAGCCTGTTTCCTCACTCTCTGTTTTGGGGTTCTCAAGCACAGGGTCACATTGCAACCTCCCCGCGAGACTATTCTATGTTTGCTCTAACTTCTTTATACATCTGCTGTGAACATGCCAGCTTCGTCCTTGCCCTACAGGTAGGGACTCGGATGGCCATGCTCTGGGCTCCCCGTTCTGTGGAAAAGCCCAATTCTCTTCCAAATCCTTGTCCCAGAATTGAAGGAGGTGCTGCAGGATGTCTCTGCCCTGGAGATACACTCTCCCTCTGTCCCGCTGCGCTGCTTGAGGCACCAGTGTTCATGCTCTAACCACAGCGGTAGATGCTGCTGCCACTCCTGCTTTAAGATGCAGAGCATGAAGAGAGCTGAAATGTACCAGAGGCAACAAACAAAAGGGCTGCAAGGGAACACGCAGCCAGCTGTCCACCCCCCCTGGAGCTAAACACGGCTCTTGAGCTAATCCTGGCTAGTTCCTATTAGCCCCCATCCTCCCCATCTTCTCCAGCCTATTATCCAACTTCACATGCTTGCGGGAAGAGGCAGAGGGACTGAAGGGGTCATTTCACATTTGCTCTTGTAACAAATGGGCTATTACCACTGTCCTCTGGTGGGTGGAATCAGAACTGCCTAGCTGCGTGTCCATGGCCCTATACTGCACACTACAAAGGGACTATTCTCTTGTCGCTCACGTGCTAGCAGAGCAAGGGGAAGTGAGTTCTCTCCCTGCTGTTACCTGTGCCATACTGGGCATCCAAGCCTACTGGGTATGTACCCTGTGCTTTGGGCATTGCAGAATCAAGTCTAAGCCCAGAACTAGTTTGGTCATAAAGCTGAAGCCATGTGATGTTCCTGTCCCTGCTCTCCCCTGCCCCATCCCGGACCTCCCCACCAAACCAACATGAGGAAGCAGCATTACCTTTCCATGGCTTCTTGAGCGAGTGAGTTCTCCTTCCCGTTCCTCACCAGCATCCTCAGAGGCTTATCTTCCTGCACGCTCAGTGCTTGCTTGCGGGCTCTCCCCCTGGAGTGGGGCAGATGTGTGGGGGTGAGGGGAGTGCTCCTGGAGAGGGGCCCCACCCTTCGACAGTGGAACAGGCGCTGGTAGGCTGTCCGGAAGTCCCTGTTCAGAGCAGCGTACAAGATGGGGTTCAGGGCTGAGTTGGCATAGCCCAGCCATAAAACTATGGACTGGGACGTCTCATCCACCTTGTCCCCCTCCATCCCTCGGTAAGTGAACACTGTGAAATAAGGGAACCAGGAGATGATGAATGCCCCCAGCACGGCTGCTAGCGTCACGGTGGCCTTGTGCTCTTTCACAGTGAGCAGCGCAGGGCTGACGGCCTTGCAGCAGGTGGCGTGGTTGATCCTCTTGGCTTGCTCCCTGGCGATTCGGAATATCCGGTAGTACATGATGCACATAATGACCAAGGGAAGGTAGAAGGTGAGCAAGGCGTCCACCAGCCCGTACACGGCGTTGACCGCCAGCTTGCACTCCGTGCTGTTGTTCAAGCCTGTGTTCTGCACACCAGTGCCATTGGTGTTCCAGCCCAGGTGGATGGGCAGGAAGGAGACCATCAGTGAGACCACCCACGTGACGAACATGGCCACGGCCACCCGCAGAGGGGTGACCAGCTGGGTGTAGCGGAGCGGGGCTGTGATGGCGTAGTAGCGGTCTATGCTGATCATGAAGAGGTTGAGGATGGAGGCCGTGCACAGCATGACGTCCAGGCTGATGTAGATGTTGCACAAGGTGGGGCCGAAGTGCCACTCGCACGTGAGCTCGTAGATGGCGGAGAAGGGGAGCACCAGGAGGCCCAGCAGCAGGTCGGTAACAGCCAAGGAGACAATGAAGCAGTTTGTCAGGCTGCGGAGCTTGCGGTTGAAGGAGACAGCCAGGCAGACGACCACATTGCCGCAGACGATGACCACAATGAGTACAGTGAGCACGATCCCAATTAGCACTGTCTGTGGTTTGCAGCCCAAGCCTTTCAGAGCAGCTGTGCCATTCTGACATGGATCCATGGCAAGGAGGCGTGGGCAATCAGTCCTCTCCCATCTGGGCTACCATGATGTCCCAGTTCTGTCTGCGCTCTGCAGCTGTTTGGATAAAGGGTCCTACTGGAGCCCACAATGAATGTCCCCAGAGCCCTTCTCAAACCAGCCTCGCACTCGGGCACCCACGCTTTGGGCATAGAGATTTGTGTTCACTTGTTTGCTCTTTGTATCCGTAAAGGTGCCAGGAACCAGTCAGGGACTCTGCACCCAGAGCTAGGCGAGGATGTGGGCTCTATGCAGAAATAATGCCCATAGATCATGCCCATGTATCGGCACCAGCTGGGGATCAGTACATCAGCTGCCAGGCGCCTCTCTGGCAGCTGCCTTTGAGTCTCAATCTCTCCCTCTTCCTCGCTCTTCTCCTCCTCCTCTCTGAGAAATTAAGAGGGGCTGAGTCACGTAGGGTCTCAACCATGCCTGGTTCCGTCCACATGGTCAGGCTGGAGAAGGTAGGGAGGGAGATTCTTCTACATCATTCCTTCCGGCTGGTCCATGCCTCTGGCCCTGAGCTGCAGCCACTACTCATCACTCAGACTCTGGAAGGAAAGGGCAAGATCAGGCCTGCAGTCAGTGCAAAGGGGACATTGCAGAGGGTCTGCTGCAGAAAGCAGCAATGGCTACTTGGGGGTTCCAGCCACTCCAGGAACATCAATGGCTGTGCCAAGCGAGGCCCCTGCAGCCAACTCCATGGCATTGCTCTGCTCGCCTGTCCCTCTCGGGGACTCAGATCAATCCCCTTGAGAAGGGAGGGACAGACGGACCAGAAACCAAACCCTCACCTCCCGCCTCCCGCTGCCGGCAGCTTGGGAAGTGGGGGGACCGGAGCCAGTGCTCACTTATACTGCTGTTAGCTGCCGTGATCCGAAGTCAACGGAGCTGCACTGGTATCAAATCAGCGTAAGACAGGGGAGACTCAGGCCTGGCGGCTGGAATCCAGACCCCAGATCTTGCTCTCCGCCCTACACAGCACTAAATGGCAGGTTTCCAGGCCGGCAGCAGAACGGACCTTTGTGTTAAGGGAAGGCTGGTCTTTGCTCTTGTTTTGCTCTGAGCAAGAAAGTTCATCTTTAAGAAGCCAGGATGTTGTCCCTGGCTGGTTCTTTGAACCATCACCACCCAGTAACTTCCCTGCACTTCCCAAGCCCTGAGCTGGCACCTAGGAGCACCCGACCCAGCACCTCTCTTTAACTGAAAACAATTCCCTTGGATCTGCATGGCATATTTCTGGGAAGTTCTGGGTAGGAGACAGGCACGTTAGAGAAGGAAACTGTAGCCTATTTGTGCTTGGAGTGGTCTCCCTCTCCAGCACTGCTTCCAAGAAGGCTCTTCTGCAAAGCCTTTCAACAGCGACTCTGACAGATGCCCGGGCACCCTCCTCCAACACACACACACACACACACACCTGCTGCCCTACATGTGCCCCTCAACTAGTCTGTCCAGAGGAGAACAATAAAGTCCTTTGGGAGAGGCGCTTCCATTCTTTCCTTGTGCCTTGCCAGCACACCATGCATACCAGGAACAATCAGCTTCTCTTTGTAACAAGCAAATAATTCTTCCCTTCCCCTGCAGGGCTCAGTCAGTAAGAATAATAAGTGTGAACTTAAAAAACAAATTGGATTTCCTGTGAACCTAATCAACCCTATCAAGTAACTATTCCCCTGAGACTCACCCTGGGCGAATGGACTCATGCAGTGCTAAGGTGGCTCCTGGCTGCATGGATAGTCTGCATATGAGGGTTTTGTTACCTGCAGTGGGGGCAGCCAAGTGCTTATTTGCAGGTGTGCGTGTGAAGATATTGCATGGAAAAGCTGACACCGCTGGGCGGAGCCATGCACCAGGTCCGGGAGGCTCGGAAAACTCCTAGTGTTCAGCAACCCGAAACGAAGCCACAGAAATCATGAGGCTGGCTTAAAAACGCTAAATCTGGGGGGCCTTGTTGTTTGCCTCCTGCCTTGAGGGGTCACATTTTCAAGCTTTTGTCCAAGAACACTAGGGCAAGAAACGGCCTTAGTTAAAAACGAAAGGGGAAATTCTCCCATCAGCCCACAACGTCAGCAGCTGGGGCTTGAAGAGAAACACCAAGTGTTGCAAGAGTTGGCCACCCCGCCTCTCCCAGTGCACTCCAGTCTTCGCTTGCAGCTCCCACGAGCTGGATCATGAGCTCTCTTGAGCAAAGGCTACCCGCCTGCAGTAAATTCCCCCCGGACACGACCGCATGGTGTGGTGACACAGCACAAGGCACGGCAGGCTGGATTCTGCCTCTGAGTTGCACAGGTGTGAATCAGGAATCATGCTGTTGGAATCAATGAAGTTACACCGGTGTATCACCCGTGACGACAAGAGCAGAACCAAGCCCCCCAGCTTACAATCCCGTTAATGCCACAATAACGGCACATAGTTAGAGACGACTGTAACTTCTTTTAGTAAGAGTCATGTGGTTTTGTGATGTGGTCTAGTGAAGTCCTGCCAGTGAAATGGGTAAAGACTTTTCCAAACAGTTTCTGACTATTCCCAGACTACTGCACTGGGCAGCACAGCATGGGGAGGAGGTAACCAGCCCTCTGTGGAGAAAGAAGTGGTTCGGGACGATTTAGAAAAGCTGGACGAGCACAGGTCCATGGGGCTGGATGCGCTGCATCCGAGAGTGCTAAAGGAGTTGGCGGATGTGATTGCAGAGCCATTGGCCATTATCTTTGAAAACTCATGGCGATCGGGGGAAGTCCCGGACGACTGGAAAAAGGCTAATGTACTGCCCATCTTTAAAAAAGGGAAGGAGGAGGATCCGGGGAACTACAGGCCAGTCAGCCTCACCTCAGTCCCGGGAAAAATCATGGAGCAGGTCCTCAAGGAATCAATTCTGGAGCCCTTAGAGGAGAGGAAAGTGATCAGGAACAGTCAGCCAGATTCACCAAGGGTAAGTTATGCCTGACTAATCTAATTGCCTTCTATGATGAGATACCTGGCTCTGTGGATGAGGGGAAAGCAGTGGACATGTTATTCCTTGACTTTAGCAAAGCTTTTGGCACCGTCTCCCACAGTATTCTTCCCAGCAAGTTAAAGAAGTATGCGCTGGATGAATGGACTATAAGGTGGATAGAAAGCTGGCTAGATTGTCGGGCTCAACGGGTAGTGATCAATGACTCCATGTCTAGTTGGCAGCCGGTATCAAGTGGAGTGCCCCAAGGGTCGGTCCTCGGGCTGGGTTTGTTCAGTATCCTCATTAATGATCTGGAGGATGGTGTGGATTGCACCCTCAGCAAGTTTGCAGATGACATTAAACTGGGAGGAGAGGTAGATAAGATGGAGGGTAGGGATAGGATACAGAGGGACTTAGACAAATTAGAGGATTGGGCCAAAAGAAATCTGACGAGGTTCAAGAAGGACAAGTGCAGAGTCCTGCACTTAGGACGGAAGAATCCCATGCACCGCTACAGACTAGGGACCGAATGGCTAGGCAGCAGTTCTGCGGAAAAGGACCTAGAGGTGACAGTGGACGAGAAGCTGGATATGAGTCAACAATGTGCCTTTGTTGCCAAGAAGGCCAATGGCATTTTGGGATGTATAAGTAGGGGCATAGCGAGCAGATTGAGGGACGTGATCGTTCCCCTCTATTCGACATTGGTGAGGCCTCATCTGGAGTACTGTGTCCAGTTTTGGGCCCCACACGACAAGAAGGATGTGGATAAATTGGAGAGAGTCCAGCGGAGGGCAACAAAAATGATTAGGGGTCTGGAGCACATGACTTATGAGGAGAGGCTGAGGGAACTGGGGATGTTTAGTCTGCGGAAGAGAAGAATGAGGGGGGATTTGATAGCTGCTTTCAACTACCTGAAAGGGGGTTCCAAAGAGGATGGATCTAGACTGTTCTCAGTGGTAGCAGATGACAGAACAAGGAGTAATGGTCTCAAGTTGCAGTGGGGGAGGTTTAGGTTGGATATTAGGAAAAAACTTTTTCACTAGGAGGGTGGTGAAGCACTGGAATGGGTTACCTAGGGAGGTGGTGGAATCTCCTTCCTTAGGAATTTTTAAGGTCAGGCTTGACAAAGCCCTGGCTGGGATGATTTAATTGGGGATTGGTCCTGCTTTGAGCAGGGGGTGGGACTAGATGACCTCCTGAGGTCCCTTCCAACCCTGATATTCTGTGATTCTATGAAACTCTATTATGATTAAAAATGAAACAAGAATTACACTCGGATGAAAGATCATTTCTGCTGGCGTGTGGCTATTTTATAAGTAAGTCCCCACAAGAGTCCTGTCTGAGCTCAGAAATACCATTACCATGAAAAGGAAACAATGTTTTCCTTGTGCTGTCTCGGGTAGTAAAACAGAAAACAACCTTCTCTTACTGAACTGTCCCCTGGGAGAAGCCAGTAGAAGGGTCTGTGTCTGGCTGGCTTGACAATCTCTAAACAATGAAGTGTCCTTCACTTGGAGAGCAGAAATAGATAGGGTAAAGATAACACTAATAAACCCCAACAACACAAAAGAGTGCTTGGCAGCTGATCATCATGGGATTTGTCTCCAAAGCACTTTGAAACTTGAGCTAATGGACCCTTGCAATCCCCTGAGTGGCAGCCAAGCAGCATTATTTATCTCCCTCCAGAAGGGGAAACTGAGGCACCGAGGCAGGAAGCAGCTCCCATTTGTCCAAAGCCACAGAGGAAGTCAGAATCAGGATTAGAACTCAGGACTTCCCAGTTTCCAACCCTAGGATTCACCTATTTCCCTCCCTCCCAGGAAATGGTTTGTATCACTGAATATTTAAGAGAGTGGCTCTCAACCTTTCCAGACTACGGTACCCCTTTCAGGAGACTGATTTGTCTTGCGTATCCCCAAATTTCACCTCACTTAAGAACCACCTGCTTACAAAATCAGACATAAAAATACAAAAGTGTCACAGCCACACTATTACTGACAAAGTGCTGACTTTCTCGTTTTACTGTATAAAAATAAAATAAATCTACTGGAATATAAATATTGTGCTTACATGTCAGTGTATCGTACACAGAGCAGTATGAACAGGTCATTGTCTGTATGAAATATTAGTCTGTACTGACTTCGCTACTGCTTTTTATGCAGCCTGTTGTAAAATTAGACAAATCTCTAGATAAGTTGATGTATCCCCGGAAGACCTCTGCCTACCCCCAGGGGTATGTGCACTCCTTTTTGAGATCCGCTGACTTAAGAAAAAGTGAACGTGTGATCTCACACATTGCGCAGTGACCCCCTTTCCTCAAGTCTTTTCAGACAGACTGGGTTTGAAGAGGACAATACGTCCTCCTTCCTTCTCTCCCCAGATGGGTATGTTCCACATGGAAACAACCAGGGGCCTGGACAGACTTCCACCTGCGGACAGAATGAGAGACCCAGGCCTGGGTAACTCCACTGAAGCGGACAGAGTTACCAAGTGTAAATGGGAAGAGGCTCTCTGCAATCCATGCACATGCAGAGAGCACAAAGACCTGGCCCCAGAACCCCAGTTACTGGAGAAGCCTTGGAAAGTTACTGCAGAGATGAAGCAAGAGCAGTAACTCCAGGTGTTTAAATGTGCTAGATCAGGGAGATGATTGAGGTAAATTTTCATGCTCCAATTCAATCTCTCTGCCAGGAAAAAACAAAACAGATCCAATTAAAATGTAAAATTCATAAAGAGATGCTTTATAGCACTGGCAGTAGGTCAAAAATACCAGAGCCAAGCACAGGGCGGGGTTTAAGAGATAAGATGAGTAAATAATTCACAGATTTCCTGGTGCTGCATGATGGAAAAATGGAGGCCGAAGCAACGAGCTCTGGGCTAGGGCGCACATAGGGCAAGCGTGCTCCACCTGTGGCCCAGCTCGGCGTGGGCCACGTCCCCGTTCTCCCCAGGGAAATGATCTGGCTGTGGGGAAGACGTGGAAGGGAAGATTCTGTAGACGTACGAGAAGGTGATGAATGGGCCTGCATGGCACAAGAGTGGGAGCTCAGTGCATCGAGTGAACCTGGGTGCGAAGATTAGCCCTTTCATCCCAGAGACACACCAGGGGCGTGGCAGCAACACCCTCAGCCCTTGGGGTGGGGGAAGAGCATCTCTGATCATGTTTCAGCAGCTGTACTGGTGAGCGACCAACGTGCATCGTCACAGCTGCTGCAGAACCTGCCATTCCAAAGAGTTTTATGGATGTTGCTACACAGCTATACACGGTGAACACTTCACCTGCCACTGAAAAGCAGCCTTCTCTAGGTTGGAACGCTGCAGTTTTTTAACAGCACATAGCAACAGCATGCAGTAAGTTTAAGGCAGGAAGTAAAGCACTCTTAATAACAATCTACCTGCTGACTGGTGGGAGGAGGAGGGTGGCTTGCTCCTACCGAAAGGTTTTTCCAAGGGAAAAGCTTGTTTTCCCTGCTACCAACAACCAACTGGCAGTGGCAGGATAAGTCAAATTCAGTGTACCACACTGAAACAGCATGTACATGTGTCACACCCCGTTATCCACTAGAGGATAATACCCTACTACTGCTAGCAGCTAACAGATTTATTCCTTCAGCTCAAGCAGGAGAGGGTGGTGCTGAAGGGACTGAGTTCAAACCCCACGGATGACCTGTGCAGAAACCATCATTACATCAGTGCCATGAAGACAATTGACAAGGAACAGTTAGACTCTGAATATCCAAGAGGCCTGTAATTAGTTCAGCAATGTGGGGAATCCAGCCTAGGCTTGGGGAGGCTAGTTTAGGCTGGCATGGGGTAACCTCCTCCTTCCCAGACCAACATTTCAACTCCACCCGCCCTAAAGCTGCAGCTCCATGGACCTATGGGCTGCTGACCTGGCTGTTAACATCTTTTAACAGGTTCATCTCTGGTGCTTTGCTAATTAGTTCAGGATTACAAACAAGAAGGCGAGTCTCCTTGCTTTGTTAATTACATTCCTGCATCAGAGTGGGAGCAGAACACATTTCACAATGCAACCAGGAAGGAGTTGGGTCTCTTTAACCTAGGGGAAGCCAATGTCCCTCTCTGCTACATGAGAGCCTCAAAGGGCCAGGATGCCAGCTAAGCATACAAAAGTTCAGGGCTCTCGATGTTCGCAGTAGGGATGGGGTAGAAAGCACCTCTCCCAGGCACAGCTGCTGGGGGCCCCCGGTAGGCAACAACACATGCAGGAGCGCAGGGGAAAGGCACTGCACTCACTGGTTCTTGTGCACTGCCAAGCCTTGGATTGCACCCAGCCCTGGCACAGAGGCGCAAGAGGAAGGGAAGGCTCCATCCACCCTGCGGCATGAGCACAGGCCTGCAGCGGGTACCCGAATCTCTTCCGCAGGGCAATTTCCTGAGAATGGGCTCCCTGTCAGAATGATGGGGAGAGTCTCTGCTCTGGGCGGGGTCACAGCTGTTTCCCATCCCATCGACACTGGAAAACACAGCTGTAGCTCACGAAAGCTCATGCTCAAATAAATTGGTTAGTCTCTAAGGTGCCACAAGTACTCCTTTTCTTTTTGCGAATACAGACTAACACGGCTGTTCCTCTGAAAGAAGAAAAGGGAGATTCTGGAATTCAGCGGGTGTCCCAGGAAAGTGGTGGGGCCTGGGCAGAGTTTGGGCCAAGGATATTTTCATTTCAACCCTCCTCTGCATCCCTACAGAACCTACGGATCTCCTGGCTTGAACCTGGGAAGCTGGACTGCAAGCACCGGGCCATCACCTCCTCAATTCAAAGGGCCCAGCAAAGAGCAGGCAGCTTGAGCCGTCCTCCAGGGACATGGGAGTTTGCAGGATGCAGCTGCTTGGAGCTGTGAACCCCAGGGAGGAAAGCCAGCACAGGAAAGGCAGCCTCTTCCCCTCCCTGCTGTGTGATCACCCTGTAGCTGTTCCCCATGACTCCCTTTGATCCAGGACAAGTCACTGAACACTCCCGGCCCTGCGCACACAGGGTGGCTTTATGGGGGAAGGGAGTCAAGGAGAAAAGAATGCAGCTGAGGCTGCCAAATGTGAATTGCTCACAACACACGCACTTAAGCCACTAAGTCAGGTATTATTTGTGTAAACAGGGGACAGTCCCACTATTGTGGGGAACTTTCCTGGCTTCTACACTATGATCTGAGTCCTCGCTCCCCCTTCCTTTACCCAGAGCCCTGCCTGACCTCGAGGGCTCCCCTCCCACTCTCCTGTGGGCAAGAGTCCTCATAACCCCAACAAGGCTGGGCCCCGGATTCCTGGGGAGCTCGACCCCCCACCTTGTCATGGTCACTTAGAGCAGGGTATAGGGTGTCCCCACTCTGGGTGCTCTCTCTGCACTGGATGCTTCCCTGACCCGCTGATCATTACCTACAGCTCTAAGCAAACACAGTTTATTAAACAGCAATCCATGTAAAAAAATAAGGGAAAAATGGGGAAGGTTAAAGGAAAACCCGTCACCCCGCTCTGTGGCCTGGGGACGTCACAGCCAGCATCTCTGGGATGTCAGGGCAGTTCAGACTGTCCCTCCCACTTCCCAGGCCCCTGCCCAGGCCCTGGCCGTGCTGCAGGGAGGCTGCGGGTCGGACACTTGCTCTGGCGGTGGCCACATGCCCTCAGGCTCTAGCTGGCAAGACCCTTCTTCCCAGTGTTGCCCCTGTCCCGTCGGGGTTACGATCCCCCCCCAAGTGTGGCCTGCAGAGCCTCTTGGCTGGGGCGTCTCCCTGCGCTGGGCCTGCTGCCCAGGGTCCCCCCTCGCTCTCCCCAGCTGCTCACCACACCCAGCTCTAGATGGCTCCAGCCCCAGCACGGCTGCTGCTGCTGCTGCTCTGCCTCCAGCCCCCTTGGCTGCTTCTCTGGCCCCTCTGGCTCTGGTTGCTACAGCTCTGCTCCCAGGACAGGTCTGCTCTGTGGGCTGCTTCTGTGACTCCGCTCCCAGCACAGACCTGCTTCGTGGGCTGCTTTTCTGGCCCCTCCGGATCTGGTTGCTACAGCTCTGCTCCCTGCACAGGTCTGCTCTGTGGGCTGCTAATGTAACGCTGCTCCCAGCCCTGACCTGCTTCCTGGGCTGCTTTTCTGGCCCCTCTGGATCTGCCCAAGCTCTGCTCCCCGGCTCAGCTCGGGCCCCTGCTCTCTCCTTAGCTTGGCCCCACTCTGACTGATCCAGACAATTCCAGCTCACAGGGAGGACAGGACCTCCTGGCCTCCTGACTCCCTCATTAGCCTGCCCGCCCTGTCTATCAGGCTTAGGGTGACCAGATAGCAAGTGTGAAAAATCGGGACGGGGGTAGCAGGTAATAGGAGCCCATACAAAAAAAGGCCCAAATATCGGGACTGTCCCTATAAAATCAGGACATCTGGTCACCCTAATCAGGCTAACCTGGAGCATTGGCCTCTCCCCATTGTTCCTGGGGACTGTCAGTCTCAGGGTCTTGATTTCCCATTGACCCTTCCCCTTTCTTTTGGTACTGGGAGCCAGCAACCAAAACACTCCACTGCCTGTTAGTAAGGAGACAACAGCCCCTCACATTTGCGTGGTTTGGAGGTAGAGGGGGAGCCTTGGTTTCCGAGTGCAGCAGGCTCCCTTAGGGAACCCTTTTCAGAGCAGCAGGGCCTTGGCAAGTTCTCCAGCTCACTCAGAGGTTCTCTCCCCCACTGGGCTGTGCCAGGCTAGTGGTTAGCTGTTGCCGGATCAGGGATGGTGAACTGGACAGGGGAATCAGACTTCAAGCACAATGCATAGCCCTGTCCTGGGAGGATGGTCCGTCCCTGGGGCAGAGACCTGCGGGGTCGGTCTTTGGTGTTGCACTTAGTCAGTTGCACATTTTTAAGCAAGGGTCATTAACCGGGGGCATAACCCAGGGGCCTGGTGGATACTCCCTCCCTGGAGCTCTGTAACTCTCTTTCTAATAGACCAGCTCTAGCTCAGCCAGAAACGATTGGGCTGGTGGCAGGAATCCGGGGGTGAGGTCCCCTGGCCCGTGCTCTGCAGGAGCTCAGAGCGGGTAATCACAACAGTCCCTTCTGGCCTGAAAGATTGAACTGACCCCAGAGCGGTGACTTTCCGTGGGTCTAACAGGAACCCTTTGACAGCACTGTTTCCAGCTTCCCGACCAAACCCTTTGTCCTTCTCACATCTGAACAAGACTTGAATTTACCACCACCAAGAGATCTGAAAGAGGATGTCAACAAAAACAAAATCTCATGCAGCTGGGGTGGAAACCACTGTCTCCAGCTGGTGGTCAATGTCACAGGGTCACCTCCACGCTGAGCCCTGCTGCACACATTCTCAACTGCCCCAACCTGCGGCCTTTTGGCAGAAATCCGCCAGAGGGGCTTTGTCAGGGGACAGCTCCCCTCCCTTCCACTGCTGGCCCACGTCTCCCCATCGCTGCTCAGCGCAACTTTCCTGCACCCCCCCATGGACACTGTGCAGCTCATGGCCCCGCCCCAACCCAGCTCCCCTCCACGTCCCTTCTGCATGGCCACTCACCCCACCGGTGCTCTCTGGGCAGTTCCTGCATGGTGAGCTGGGGAAAATGGAGTGGGGCAAGAGAAGATGAGGAGGGAGCTGGGGTGGGGGATGATCTGGGACACGCTGGAATCTCCCCCCCGCCGAGCACCTGCACAGTGGCAATACACCCCCTCCCAAGTCTCTCTCTCCCCCACCTGCTCAAGCCCCTCCTCGGCAAGCTCTGTGCCCCATAGGCAGGGCCACCCCCCCGGCCCCCAGAGGCACTGCAGGGAGCCAGGGCTAGAGCAGGGAGAGGTGCTCAGACAATCACAACACAAAGAAAAGCAGAAACAAAACTCTGCCCCGTTCCTGTGAGTATGTCAGGGGGAACAGAAGTGGCTGCTGGCTTGGAGCAGCTCCCCTCCTCCAGGGACCCCTGGCAGTGCCCGGGGGGGTTAGCAGGATGCCTGGGCCCGTCGTTTGTTTCACCAGAGGGCTGTTGTGGGCACCCTGGCCTTGGCACAATGCTCTAGGGGAGGAGGGTCCCAGCTGGCGGGGGCCAGAGGACCCCAAAGACATGGGATGAAACCCCGGCCAAGTGTCTGTTCGAGCCGAATGTTCAGAGGGCTCCTCTGCCCAGGGCAGAATCGGTTTGTCGTGGACAATGCTGCTGTGGCCAGGGGGAGACACAGCTCAAAGGTGGGGCGTAGCGGGGGTGGGAGGGGGGTTAATCTTGCTCCATGGGCAAATCTCAGCCCAGCCGTAAACTAGAGTCGGGGCTGATGCCACCCTAACACCGCCCATGGCAAGCTCCCCTCCCGGGGCAGCTCTGGGAACTCCCTTTGGGGCGCTTGCCGGGGCAGGGGCACAAGGCGGGGGGGGGGTGTCCAGGCTGCGGGACCCGTCTCTGGGGTGTCGCAGGCAGCAGTACCCAGGGGTGCAGACGTTGGGGGGTGGCTGCGGAGCTGGGGGGCTGATTCTCCGGGCGGAGGGGGGGGGGCAGAAGGAAGTGCAGGGTCCCCAGCGGCGGGCTCCGTCCTCTCCCCCCGCCCCGGGCCGCTGCGGCCCCGATACTCCGGGGATGGGCTCGGGGGGCGAACGGGACCGAGCCCAGCCCCCGCTGCAGCGCGCAGCGCCCCGCGGAGACCCTACCTGGCTGCCCGCGGACCCGGGGCGCTGCTGGCCGGCCCCGCAGCCGGCGCGGGGCGGGTGGGAGCGGGGCGCGGAGCTCGCCGGGCTCGCGGCTCCGCGGCAGGTTTGAACTAAGCGCAGCGAGCCGCGCTCCGCCGGGAGCAGGGCGCCTTCCCCGCCCACGTGATGGGGGAGAGGGGCCGAGCCGCTGAGCATCCAGCAGTGACAGCAGCGCCCTCGCCGGCGGATCTCCAAGCGCCGGGCAGGCAGCGGGCTCCCTCTCGGTCCAAGGTGGGTCTGGGTCTGCCCGGCCCAAAGCACAGAGCTCCCGGAGACTCCTGGCACACGCGTACCGCGCGGAGCTGCGGCTCCGGGCCAGGTCTCACCTCTGGGCCAGCTGAAGGATAATGGCCTACTACTGCTGAGAGCTGAAGCAATTCCTCCTGGAGTGCCAGCAGGAGAGGTCGGGGCTGTGGGGTTGAAGCCCTGGTGGAAGGGGGCATTAGAGCGGGCAGTGCCAGGGAGAAAGGGTGCGATGTGCCAGCAGAGTGTTAAGGTGATTAGTGTGTAATCCTCAAATGCAGCCCCTTTGCCTGATCGTTCCCCTGCCTTTTCAGCAGGCCTGGCAGCTTGACTGGGGTTTCCTGGAGAAATAGACTATTAATCCCCATGCAAAAGCGTCACCTACAAAGCCCCCCCATGCTGGGGTTTAACACATTGTAGGCAGGCAGCCCCGGGGGGTTAAGGCATGCCACTGCCTGGCCTGCGGTAGATAGGAAACATGAATATACTGACCAGATTCCTTTGTACAGATTGCATCACCAAGTCTGAGCTGCAAAGCAAAAGACCCCGTGGGACACCCAGTTCTCAGCTCCTCTGTTCCTTTGCTCAGCTCAGGAACCAGAGGGGTGTGTGGCTTTAGGCTTTGTGCTCCTCCTCGTCACTGAGTAGGCAGGTGCCTGCCTGGCCCCCAGCATGTTAGAGAAGCCTCAGGGCTGCTCTAACCCATGCTTATCATAGAATCATAGAATATCAGGGTTGGAAGGGACCTCAGGAGGTCATCTAGTCCCACCCCCTGCTCAAAGCAGGACCAATCCCCAATTAAATCATCCCAGCCAGGGCTTTGTCAAGCCTGACCTTAAAAACTTCTAAGGAAGGAGATTCTACCACCTCCCTAGGTAACCCATTCCAGTGCTTCACCACCCTCCTAGGGAAAATGTTTTTCTAATATCCAACCTAAACCACCCCCACTGCAACTTGAGACCATTACTCCTTGTCCTGTCCTCTTCCACCACTGAGAATAGTCTTGGGCTGCAGTGGACCCCCATTGGTGAACAGCTGCAGCACAGAGCACTCCAGCCACACATCCTCCCCCTTCCTGCCCACCCCTGGTATGCCCCCTCTGTCGAAGGCCGGGGGAGAGGTGTGGCAGAGCACCATTTGGCCAGTTCTAGGCCAGGTTTAAGGCCCTTGGGACCCGTCTCTGTCACACCCACTAGAAGGATTTTGCCTGCAGGGAAATGGTGAGGCAGACAGCGCGACCTTGGGCTGGGCATGAGCTGTGAATTCCAATCGAAGGGCAGAATCTCCGTTCCGCGGGAGATGTCGACATTGCAAAATGTCCTTTCATCCCAGATTGGAACAGGCCATCAAACATTTGACATTTCCCACAAAATTTCATTTAGAAATTTAAGGGAGGCTGGGCCCAGCCTCGCCTGTGACAGATCAGCTACCTCCCGAGTCCCAGCAGGGACTGATCAGGTAGGGAGCAGGGGACTGGAAAAGCCAGCATGTGGCCCTGTTGGGGGAAGTGCTGCCAGGAATGGAGAGGCTGTGGCAGGAAGCCTGTGGGTAAAAGGGGGAGGTACAGGAAGCAGGCTGGCTCCTGTAGGAGGCCCTGGAACAGGGTGACTCACAGAGAAGTGGCCTGTAGAGTAGAAACAGATAGGCCCTTGCAGAAGACCCTGTGCAGAGGGAAGGGAGGACTGATGTGCTGTACTAGCTCTATTGGGAAGAAATAAAGCTGAAGCACTGAGAAAGGGGCCTGAACTGGATGCTGGGCGCAGTGCCCCTCTCTCCTGGGCCGAGGGGTCAGGCCAGCAGCCACGGGCCAGACGGAGACGCTTCTTTTGCTAAGGTCGAAACACTCCATCAAAATGCTTTGAAAGTCTGTCATCGGATTTCGATTAAATCGATCCACTCCTGCAAACCGTTTCGAATTCAACAATGCCATGGAGCATTTGCCAGTGGAAGAGTGTTCCCTGGCCAGTGCAAAATGCTCGACACACTGTGCGGGTTGTAGGCAGAGCAATGCCCTGTCCAGGAACCCTCCTCACACGTAGTCCTGAGAAGCTGCCTTTTCTTTGGGAGCCAGGCAGTCACTGCTGGCACGAGTCCCGCCCAGTCCCGTAACGGCTCCTGATGCCCTTGGAGTTGTGAAATAATGTGGCTGTGACAATGGCCTGCAGAGATGAAGGACCATAAGGCTCGATCTTCCCTAGCCCTGCTTCAACTCCACATCTGTTTGCAATGCCGGGAGACCTAGTGATGGCTGGTTTTCAGCTGAGGACCCTCCTTTTAAGCTATGTTGACCCGATTTGTTCCCAGCAGGATTAGCTGTAAACCACAGCGTTAGCCTCAACGGGGTTTTCAGCTGCCATGATCTTGTGACAAGGAGTTCCACAGGCTACTTTTGTGTTGTGCAAAGTATTTCCTTCCATCGGTTTTAAGTGTGCTGTTTTTCTGGTTGTTCTTGTGCTAGGAGAAGGGCTTCAGAGGAGCATCCATTCATTACTGTCAGTCCCTCAGGTATCTGTTCATTTCCTCCCTACTCCAAGTAGTCCAATCTTTTCAATCCCTGGCCCCTTGGTTGTCTGTTATAGCTTTCCCTGAGTCTGACTGGCCAGTCTCTAGAGGAATTAGATGTCCCTTCTCAGATGAGAGGTCCTTTCTACAAGTTCTGAGGTCCTGTCTGCTCTGGACTTTTTACTGTGTTTAGGAGCCATGTTTAATCGGGGGTCAGAAGGTCCTAACAGGCTGGGCTGGCCTGGGTGGGGCAAATCAATGCTTGCAAGTCATTGGCTAGCCTGGAACTGATCTAGAATTTCATTCCAAACCAGCTCACTCTGGCCAGCCAAGCCGGGCTAGCCAACCAGGTGAATGTGGCCACAAGAACAGTACACAGGGTGCTTGGGCTGTACCTTCAGTAGGCAGCTGGTAAGTTTGTATCATATTATTGACTGCTGCTAACACAAGGCCTGGCCAGTATCTTCACCTGGAGCCCATTCAAATCCCGTTGTATCCAGCTAGACATGGGAACCTTCCTGAGAGCCTCTCTTCATGGCCTGGCACAGGCTGGCTTTATGAGACCAATGAATTGAGGATGCCTGTTTCCTTCCCTTACTCATCAGTACGCTCTGTTCCTTGAAACAGGAGCCCCACGGCCCCACTCGAGCCCAGCATCACCCTACAGCCCGGGGGAGGGGATTACAAGCCTATGGCGGGGTGGGATATGTTCCTGGGCAATTTTGTGCGGATGGCTGCTCTCTTGGGCGGGAACAGGCTGCAGGGTTCCCAGCTC